CCCCAAAACCCCAAAACCCCAAAACCCCAAAACCCCTGACTATTTGGGTTTGGCTGAATTCTATTAAATTTTTCTTATTTCTTTCTCAAAATTGATCACTCAGTATTTTATTACTATTTAGCCTGCTTCAAGCGGCCTATATGTCAGTGGGATGCTATACCATTCCCATTTCTAGTAGGGATCTTCATCCTATAAGTAACGGGATATCGGGCTTCTTCTTTAATCTTCTTGTTCTTACACATACTAAACCTGTAAAATAATTAAAAACTGAACCTGCGTAGCTTCTTGGCTGGCCTTGTCGAGCCCAGTTTTGATTGTGATCGGACAGGATTTAAATTTTCAAGCAATTTATTCTTATTCTGAAAATGTACCACTTGGGGTTTAATCTGGACTTTGAACAGTCCTTCCTGGATACTTCGTCTTCTATTCTTGTTCTGATACACACTAAGGAACCTTGACCTTGGCTTAATTGATGAATGCCGCTCATGAAAACGACTCTTAGCTGCTAAATTTTCTTTGCTTTTAATATCAGGAATACTTTCTGGAGCTTTATGAGTCTATTTTTTCAAAATTAGATCTAAACTTTAATGTTCTTACCTCGTTGGTTCTACCTAACCTTTTCATCCTTGAAGTGATCATGCTTGGTTTTGGGATATTTAAAGTATCAGGATTGACTCTCTTCTTCTTGATATGACGTTTCATTCTAAAATTTCAGGATTTATGTACATTTTTTCATTATTTCTTCCTCACGAGATCAGCTTCAACCAATGCGTAGCATTTAAAACATCCAATTTTGGAATGATCTCATTGCTTTGAAGAACCTTTTGACAGCAGATTCATCAGGGCATTACCTGCACCTTTACGATTGAACTTCTTTTGGCTACGCAGACTAGACATTCTCTGAGGTTCTAGAGGGAGTATTGTAGCAGGGTTAAGAAAAATTAAGGACTTTTTAATATTTTGAAGGCTTTATAATTCACTATGCTTTAGCTCTGATATATTGATTGTTATATAGAGGCTTTATCCTAATTTTATCTATTACTCTTTTGAAATCAAAGCTTTAAGGTAAAATAAAGACACAGTTGTTATTATTAATGATAACCAGAATAAGCTAGAATATTTGGAGATATAAAACAGAAATTAAGTCAGGATGTAGTATATAAATGAAGACACATTTACCAAGTTTTGGCTAAATAAAATCCCTCATCTCATCAGCAATAAAATCAATGTCAAAATAGAGGATGATGATTACTTACTGCTCGCGAATCGTTCGAAAGGAGTGCTACTTCCTTTAAGAGAAGTTTTCTCTAAGTACTTGGGTAGCTCCCTACATATAAAAATCTGAGAATACTTGAAGTTTAGATATTTTGCCTTCCGAATAGCTAGTTCCAAGATATCCTTATCCTTCTTCTGCTTTTCTTGATTGTCTGTGATCAGACCTGAAAATATGGAGGAAGCTTGATGCAGACTAATCATCTTGCTGAGCGCTGCTCTCCTGGTTAAAACTATATCTTTGAAACTCTTCGTATTCTTTCTCCTCAACTTTCTAAATTTGAATTGTTTACAGGTACTTAATATCTGGAGGAATTCTTCTCTCGTTTTCTATAGAAAAGGTTTAAAAGAGAGACTTACCAAGGATAATGGTGAATCCACGATACTCACGATGCATCTTGCCTCAGAACTGACAACTGCAAGATTTCCACCTTCAATGATTCTTGATATTCTTATAAGAAATGGTATCAATATCTCTATTAAACTCGTTATCAGCTATTTTCAAATATCTGAACTCATCCCACTGAAATCCAGGGTCTAGATGTACTCTAGGAGAGCATGACTTCGACAATAACTTGCCCACAGATTCTTGGTTAAAGATCTTATTTTCAAATTCTCTGTAAATCCTCGATTTCCGATTCTTGGACGTATAAATATCATTAAGGATCTCTATACATAACAGTCAAAGCACTTACCAAAGGAGAGTTCTGACTTGGAAGATTTGCTAGCTCTCTCGCTATTTTCCCTGAGCCCTACCATTTCTTCAAAAGTCATTTTATTTTATTCCAAAACTTGAGCTCAATGATTCCTTGCTTGTTACTCTCTTCGGAGAAGCCGTTAATAGCTGATTAGAACTGTACAGGTTAGATCGGACTTACACTGGGCGGTTGGGAGTTTCGTACTTGATATTTAGCTACAAGTGAGGCGGGTTCTTACTGCGAAAGGACTCACTTCTATCTCTTCCATAAATATTTATTGAAATTATTCAACAATAATTAAATTTAGTGGGGTTTTGGGGTTTTGGGGTTTTGGGGTTTTGGGG